AAATAATGGAAATCCAATTAATGTGTTCCAGACACCCAAAATTATTAAAATATTTTTCACACAAAATATACATTTTCCTACACTAGAAAACAATGAGACATGCTAGAATAAACAATATAAAATGACACTTACCTTTATTAAAGACTTATTGATATGATGATGAATGGAGGGGGTTTACTTGTTCACCTATTATGTAATCCTTAAATTCCTACACATATTTTTCCAGTGGCCGCTTTTTTTTTTGTCAGAACTGGCAGCCTCGACCATGCCTTATCACACTGTGTATGCCACTATGATTCATAAATCTCTCAAACCAGTCTTTGCTGACCTTAAATTCATCAATATCACACTGGTTTCAGGCAATTTTTCTTAATGAATCATTAGGCAACTGCTTTGCCTTTTCACATATAATTGAGTGCGAAACACTATATCCTGATAATTGTTTCTCGTTAATCCACACCAACAATCTCTCCACATCTTCGAGTTTTTGCAATCTCTGTTTTGTAAGCATATTTGCACCTTTTGCAACAGCAGCTTCTTTGATTACCTTTTTCTTGGCCAAGATAGTAGCGATGGTTTTATGGGGTTTGTTATACAACCTGGCCAGCTCGGAGACACGCACTCTACTTTCATATTTTGCAATGATCTCTTTCTTGAATTCAATAGTATTTCTCACCCTCTTTACAACAGGGCTGGCACTACAAGCTTTCTTTGGGCCCATGGTGGCTTATTTAGCAGTTGCAAGCACTAAAAAAATGGAATAATACAAAATATATCGCATGTATGCGTGAAATCATCCTCAATGGCTTGTAAACAATGGCACACTGGCTGTACATGGAGTGGCCAGGCCACTCAGTCTGCGCAGATACGTTCTGGCCGAATGGCTTTAACCGAGTTCTTTGTCGTTAACCAAGCAAATATTTTGACGCAATAACATTACTTAATCCGAATTTTACATAATTTGATGACATTGTAATCCAGGGGTCCACTTACTGTTCATGTGTTTCATGTAGTCATCATACTATTTTATATAAATTCCCTGCTTTTATACTGTTTATACTATTTTGTGCACAGAATATTCAGAGCATGGACATTACAAGACTGCAGGCTTACCAAAGATATAGTTCAGGGGGCTGAGGAAGGGATGAGGTGGTTTTGGCAGTCAGAGAGTATGGAGTAAAAATGCTTAAGAAGGTATACAAGTATAAGGTGAAAGGAAGGGTCATCCCAGCAAGGGTTGGAGGGAAGGGGTAAAGGAGGGTTTGAGTCCTAGGGGCTGAACATCCATCTGGCTTGTGTGAGCATGTTAGAATGGAGTGAGTGGAGACAAGTGATCTTTCTAGTGATATGCTGTTGACTCTGAGCATAGTAACATTCATATGTGGATCCCATTTTCTGCCAGTAAATTGCTAGCTGTGTGCAATATAAAATTTGCCCTTAAATGGTCATGCTAGCCCAGCACCACCTGAATTTTTAACTATACATAACTCAAAAACTGATTTGGCATGTGAAATCCAATTAGCTTATTTTGAATGAAATCCTATCACTGGTTTTCAAATGAAGCCTTGTTAAGGGGAGACCTTAGTAAGTGCCAGTGCAAAGTCAGGACAAGTGGTGGAGGAAGGAAAAAGGAGATATATAAGAGATAAAGAAGGGTAAAAGAAAGGCAGATTATGAATTGATTTTTTGGATTTTCTTAATGTTTTTGGACTAAGTTCATTTCTTTTTGCATATGACTGTTTAGCTTCTGTGGTTTGCTGATAATTTTTTTTTTTATTAAATCTAGTTGAGAAATGTAGACTCCCTTTTCCCCTTTACTGATATCGTGTTAGTTGTACAGGTTGTAAGATTTTTTTTTTTTTTTTTTTTTTTTTTATACTCGATACTGGCAGGCTGGACTTCATTCCCAGGGATGGAAAATACAGTGCCAGCACTCTGAAGGAGAGATGTTAATGTTGCAGTTTTATAACTGTACTGTAAGCATGCCTCTGGCAAGATAGTGATGGAGTGAGTGATGAAAGTTTTCCTCTTTCGGGCCACCCTGCCTTGGTGGGAAACGGCTGATGTTTAAAAAAAAAAAAATAGTTTGGTGCATATGTGGTAAGCTTGTATTGTTTTGTTAAACATTCAAGAAAGGTAGATGGTTGGCTGGGGTGTGGGGGGGAAGAGAGAGATTGGGGAATGATTGGATGACTCTGTCCTATTTTTAAACCCTCTTCCATGCATTTTTCTTCAGCACTCCTACTCACACCAAAATAAACTAATCAGTAATATTTAATTAGATTATGCTATGCAACCATATTTGCATTTCATGTAAATGCTGTAAAACAAGAGAGAAGTTTTGGTTAATCTTGAGGATAGGGATGGTAGCCAGTGACCATCAGTTAAAAGCAAACTCGCAGGGTGGTATGGAATGGGCGGGTGACACTTTTTTAGGCAAGGGGATCTCCATCTGACCTAATTGGGGCTGTATTGTACTAGTGTCTCTTTCCTTTGGAAGCTTTTTGTTTCCTTTATTATTCCCACTCAGATTTGGGCACCATATTTTTCCAGACTCCAGGAAGCAGGGCTCAAGAAGCATAAGTTTGTGCATTATGGACAGAATTTTTTGTGTGTTGCCTCTATAACCCAGTAATTATTTGCTCAGATGTTGTAACATGAATATCTGTGGATAATATCAAGTTAACCCCATACATTATGCTGCCTTGCTTTTATATGATAACCCCGTTTCTACTAGTAATTAGCTGTATGCTGTATAAATTTGATACATTTGTGATCACCTAAGCCCAATACTGTACTACTAAAAACATTAATGCTCTCTTAAAACTAATATTGACATTCATAACAAAGCAATAACAAAAGGGAAACAGATTTGGACACCAGAAATCTAAAGAACATATTTTGAATGAAATAGTAATAGCTGATAATATAATAATAATAATGTCTATTTATTTAAGTTATCTATGGAGGCAAAGAAGGGAATGTATGAAAGTATAGTGGTACCAACACTTTTACATGGGTGTGAAGCTTGGGTTGTAAATGCTGCAGCGAGGAGGAGGCTGGAGGCAGTGGAGATGTCCTGTCTAAGGGCATCAGAATTCAGAGTGTGGAAATTAGGAGGTGGTGTGGAGTTACTAAAAGTATTAGTCAGAGGGATGAAGAGAGGTTGTTGAGGTGGTTTGGTCATTTAAAGAAAATGGATCACAGTAGAATGAATTGGAGAGTGTATAAATCTGTAGGGGAAGGAAGGAGGGGCGAGAGCTGTCCTCGAAAAGGTTGGAGGGAGGGGGTAAAGGAGGTTTAGTGGGCGAGGGGCTTGGACTTCCAGCAAGCATGTGTGAGCGTGTTAGATAGGAGTAAATGGAGACGAATGGTTTTTGGGACTTGACGAGCTGTTGGAGTGTGAGCAGGGTAATATTTAGTGAAGGGATTCAGGGAAACCGGTTATTATAGATTTACCTGGACTTGAGTCCTGGAAATGAGAAGTACAATGCCTGCACTTTAAAGGAGGGGTCTGGGATATTGACAGTTTGGAGGGACTTCTAAACTGTCGTATCGGGCGCCTCTGCAAAGACAGTGATTATGTATGAGTGAGGTGAAAGTGTTGAATGATGATGAAAGTATTTTCTTTTTGGGAATTTTCTTTCTTTTTGGGTCACCCTGCCTCGGTGGGAGACTGTTGACTTGTTGAAAAAAAAATCTTTATTTATTACAAGTACCCATACTTAGTATACAGGCCTAGTTGACATCAGTAGCATACTACTACAGGTCTTCTTCAACATTCGCGTTTTCAACTTTCATGGGGTTCACACATTCGCGAATTCCCAACTGCCAAATTGTATTTAAGTTTCCGCCACTCAGTGTGGTGAGTGTTTTGTTTGTTCATTATTTGCTATAAAACTACAGTATAAATAATGTCAACCCATTCATGACTGCATATTGGAATGGCCATTCGGACAGGTATTGGACGGTGACATCATATGTTTACTCTAGAACACGGGAAAGAATCGAACATTTCTGCTACTGCTAATAATAATAATACGATAGAGTTGAAGAAGGAAATTGTACAAAAATATGAGGGTAGAAGCAGTGGTGCATAGAAAGCCCTTTATTATGCAGGGTTGCAGAGGTGTTTACCCCCTGGAACACCCTTCAGATATACAGTGGACCCCCGGTTAACGATATTTTTTCATTCCAGAAGTACATGTATGTTTAGGTGCCAGTACTGACTGAATTTGTTCCCATAAGGAATATTGTGAAGTAGATTAGTCCATTTCAGACCCCCAAACATACACGTACAAACGCACTTACATAAATACACTTACATAATTAGTCGCATTGGGAGGTGATCGTTATGCGGGGGTCCACTGTACTTGAAGCATTAACAAGAGAGTTTCTCTTATAATTTACAACATTTTACACTTTTTCTGACTTGATAATTTTATAACTTACATTTTTTTTGTATTATTTTTATAGCTTTTTATATTTTTTAATTTTGTATAATTTTTTATTTTTATAGTTTACTACGATTTTTTTGGTTTTGTGACATAAGAAGCTGAATTTTCAGTCACAGATGTAACACTTTGAAGAGTGAATAGTACTTTTTCCATGCTTTCTTCATTACGGCTCAATTTCTCATGACTGTTTTATGTATTTTGGCAAAATCTTTCCAAAAAGTTATACAGTGTGTTACAAGAATAAAACATTTAATTTGGAGTGTAGTCATTGAGAATATTAATCCACAGTGGGTGCTTTGATGCTGGCGAGGGGGTTCTTAATTGGAGCAATAGGAGTAACCATTCTCTTATTCCTGATGTCAAACCTTGCCTAAGTGCTGTATAACACTACAGGATTTAGGATGTCCCATGATTATAATACTAATAATTTAGATGTTTGAAAAACCAAATTAGTATATATTATTTTCATCACTTTTTTTTTTGTTTTTTTTTTTTTTTGTTTTTTTTTTTGTTTTTTTTTTGTTTCATAACTTTTTTTTACAGGAGGCGCCTGCTATGTTTTTTCCTTCCCCATCTGTAAGTCGGCCAGCTTCCCAGTTGACTGAAGAAGAGCAGGTGAAGATTGCCAAACGCATGGGGTTAATAACACACCTACCTTGTGGAATTTTCGATGGCTCTAAGAAGAGTGGAGAGTGAGTAAACTCATTGATGGTTTTTCAGTATACACTGTCTTCTAGGTCATTTAACCATTTTCTGGACATTTTTTTTTTATGTGATCTGGTGCATTGACATGATGCTTGAAGCCTAAATAGCCACCTCATCTTAAATCAAAAGAAGCTTCAAAATCTTTTTATAATCCTCTAAATGTGGCAGGTTATGTATTGTTAGTTTCCCCTCCTCTCTTTCAGTTTGAAAGAACATAATTTCTTGCATATAGAAGTGTCCTCGCATAACAAAATGCTTGATCTTATTGTAAGTCACGTTCTCATGTTGGAGTGCCATTGTTTGCATTTGTTACAGAGGCAGTGTTATTCATTTACATGATTACTCTGTATACAGGAGAGCCCCACTTATGCAGCAGGTTAGGTTCCAAGCTACCGCTGTAAAGTGAAACGTAGCCTCCCTTTTTATCCCCCCCCCTTCCCCCTCTTTTTTTTTCCCCTCTACACTTTCAAATGCATTTAAAAGCTTGATGATGTATTTACACTATCATATTTTAAGTGAGCAATAGAGCTAGGCGTAAAAAATGCGTATGCAGTACACACATTACTTACCTTAAAAAATATTTTTGTCCTTAGTGGATAGTGAGTGGTGAATATATTTATTGTAGGAAGTCTGAATAAAGGAAGAATGGGTATAACTGAAAAACCTCTTCATTAGCAAAATGCTTTAAAGCAAAGTGCTGCAAAGTGGGGACCTCCATATGTCACATAGTAAGTTAATTAGTTTATTCAGGTACAGGTACACAAAAACAGTTACATAATTTGTCATACAAAGCAGCATGTGTGTAGATGGCAGATAACTACCAAAGCTGAAGTGTAAACAGAGCTGAGAATTAATCCTTTGGGGTTCTCTGCCCCTCTGTGACTGTTATGGGAATTTATTTTTGCATCCTAGAGGACCTTTCAAGAGTATGTGTGTGTGTGGGGGGGGGGGGTCTTGATGTTAGTGAAGAGCTCTTGATCCAGAGAATTGGAGCTACTATCCTTTTCCTTAGATAAACCCCCATTCCCTAGAATGCTGTTAACCTCATTGGCTTAGGGTTTCCTCATGGCCTGGTAAAGGGTTAAAAATATACCCACAGAATGGGATATAGTTTTGTACACTTATATACTAGGGGTGCCAGAGTACTAGTATTAGTATCTGCTGATTTTGATTTTATCCTAAAACTGAATATCAGCATTAGTGGGTATCGGCTATTTTTGATGGTATTGAAGTTGGACTAAAATTTTTGCCATATCTGTATATGCAAAAAATTTTATGTTGTCCCATCTCTAGTATGTGCTGTTACAAGCATTTAGTTAATTTATGAATATAGTACTAGAGTGTATGTCTTTAGTAATACATTTCATTCTTCTTGGCACAAGTTTCTATTTTATTAAAAAGAATGGTCATAGTCTTGAATGGTGGTCCATGCGTATATTAGGCCCAACATTGTTAGGACTTGGCCACAGAGCTTATAATGGGAGGATTTTACAACCAGCACTACTGTGACAGGGTTGTAGAAGCAGCACCAACTGTGACTACTGTCTAAGCCAAGAGTCCCAGAAGTTTTCATGGTATATTTGTTTTTTCACCCCTCAAAGCTATATACGTAGTCCAATTGGGTCACAGTTGTTGCTACTGCTACACCTATGTTGCAAAGTGATGAGTGTAAAATAATAGTGTAAGCTCTGTGGCCGAGTGGTTACAGCATTGGGCCTGCTATTCACATGGAACACAGTTTGAGTACCCATTCATTTTTCTGTTTAAACTTATACAATCATGTCTAGGTTATCAGTGTTGTTTACCGGATACTTCTGTAAAACTGTTAACTGTGTGCTGTTAGGCCAAAGTTAAGTGTTTGTTATTGGATATCTGTATATCACTGTTACCTTGGCTGTTAAGCAGGCCTGCAGATAACCTCTTTAACCCCTTCAGGGTCCAGAGGCCAAATTTCAAAGTGTGCACCAGGGTCCAAGAATTTTCAAAAAATAATTTTGTTAATTTTCTTATGAAATGATAGAGAATCTTTTTCTGAAGGTAATAAAACAAAAAGTACGAAATTTGATGGAAAATTTACAAAATTATGCTCTCGTGAATTTTGATGTGTCAGCGACATTTACGCAACGACGATTTTGCCGACTTTGACTCCCATTTTAGGCCAATTACATTATTCTAGTCGACCAAATTCTTAGCTATTTCACAAGTATTACTTCTGTTCTATCGATTGAGCACAAGAAATCACCAAGTCAACTGTTTCAACTACAAAATAAAGTGATCGGAAATTGGTAATTTGGCCAATTTAATGCAAAGTTCAAAATATTCCAGTTTCAAAATAGTGTCCAGAATAAACAATGCAGGCATTTCTGGCACTAAACTAACATTTCCTCTGTTCATTAGTTACATTTTCAGGCTTTACAAATGAATTCCATTTTGATTTTTTATTCACATAATGAATTTTTATTCAAACCAAAAAATTGAAGATTTACTGTTATGCAGTACTGTAATAATTGTATAAATAATATCACCACACTTGTGAACGTATATTAGACTCGCCAGCTGGTGTGTATTAGACGTGTGAGGTCATTTCTTTACTCTTGAACATCGGCAAAAATTTAACATTTCTGCTACTTTGAGCTCTGTTTCAGGCCATTTTCAGTACTAAAACCATTCAAAATCATCTCTTTCTGTAATATATCCTCCATTCTATCAAATGGGACCAAGAAATCGCAAATACAACTATAAAAAACATAAGAAAAAACACTGCAAAGTCGCTGCTTTAATTGAAAATTACGGTCTGTTTTTTCTCTCATTGTGTACTTTGCTGCAGTATTTATTTTATGTGGTGCACACATACCACATAGCTGTATTCTCTCATATCTAGGCGTAAGATCTATGGCACGGATCCTGAAAGGGTTAATTAAATCTTTCATGTACAGGAGCTCTGAAAACTGCTAGGTGAACAGGGGCAACAGGTTTGAGGATATATGCTCAGTCTTCACCTACCCTTTGATTGAACCTAGATCCTTAGGTATAAGCTTACAGCTTTGCCACAAGACATCTTTTGACATTAAAATTGTTTTTGCTGAAATAGATTGACAGCTTTGTTTTTGACTCAACATGATCATTATTTTGAATTGTTTCTTACATCTACGTTACTTAAACTTGAATATTTTCTTTAATTTCAGATGTGTTATCTGCATGATAGACTTCACCGTTGGTGATCGAGTGCGCTATCTGCCATGTATGCATACGTACCACACAGAGTGCATTGATGATTGGTTAATGCGCTCTTTTACCTGCCCATCATGCTTAGAACCTGTGGATGCAGCTCTGCTTAATACATATGGGACGACCTAGCCATGTGCAGCTATTAGGAAGGGTTTGCTCAGGATTTTCTTTCATTTGTTCCTGGCCAACAGGTGATATTGGTACACTGTTTTTAGAGGTTACTTAATTGCACTATAAATGTGATGGTTATCTGTCACTTATTTTGTAGGTGATGCTTTTTGTTAAGTTAAGGTCAATATAAATTGGTCATTACCCAATAAAAATAAATATTTTTGTTCATAGTGTACAGTCCTGGAAAACCTGTTACAATTAAAGATTCTTAGATATCAGCTAATACATTTATTGTTCCTCTGTAGTTCCTGTTTATGTTAAATGTATTAAGTTTGGTCACTTTTTATGTAATTCTTTTAAGATAAAAATATAGTCCCTTGTTTTTGCAAAGACTGGCTTAGAATCTTTCTTTGGCTTTATATTTTTTTTGTTATGGCTATGCAAAAATAGATTAGCATGATATATTCTTTTACAGTATGCATTATTGAAGTTACTGAAAATATTATTTCCAAAGGTTAGAAAGGTTCTGCAGGGTAACTAGGTAATCTATGAAAACTTCAAGACCTTAAAAAAAATGCTTTACCTCTATAAAATTACAAAAATTTCATGACAAGATTATAGGATTGGGGATGTACTATAATTTCAAGAATCCAAATAAATGAGAACCTGCTAGTTAAAGGATTTTAATTTTTTTTTTTTTTTTCAGAAAACTTGACAGTACATGTTCTCTTATTTAATTTGTATTAGGAATTCTCTTTAAAGTTTGAAGTTAAGCTTCAAGAGGTAATTGAACACCCATTCTTGCAACAAGTGCTAAATTAGCTAGGGTTGGTTAAGGCCAGCAGGTTGCTGATAGCAGCAGCTGCTTAGTTAGCTACACAGTTGACAAATTGAGCCTAAAGCTAGGTTTCAGGAATATAGGAACTTTAATCTAGTCACAGGTATGACACAGGTAAAAGTTTAGGACTTTCCTGAATACAGTAGAACACAAACATTGGAATCTTGATTTCTTGAATGGAATGTTCATTTGGATGAAATCTGATGCTGTTTGGCTATCAGCCTCTCAATACCCCTAGTAGACTTATTTTGGAAATATCAGAAGGTGAGAGGCACGTGTATCTCTAAATCATCAGAAATTAGCTACTGCCCCAGTCAGTTTTGTTTGTTGAGATGGAATGCATATGTCATCGTGTATATCACTCATTTAATGACATCTGCAAATTTTATGTCATTACTGTATTTATAACCATAACCCTTGTGTATATGCTAGTGCATGATAAAGCACAATTACTAGTGAGAATGTGCTATAAATTCTTGTATATGGATGAGATATGGGGCTTTAAATGTTGCAGCAAGGAGGTGGCTGGTGGCAGTGCAGATGTCATGTTTAAGAGCAATGTTTGGCATTAATATGCAAAGAATTTGGACGAATTGAAAGTCATTGTAAAAATACTTGTGGTGTATACCTGTGACTTTTTTTCTTTTTATTCTTACTGGCTCAGCCTTTGGCCAAGTATCCTTGAGTGCATGTTGAACTAGGGTAATAAAGTATTATTCAGAGGAGAGACAAGGGGTTATTTAGGTCTGGTTATTTAAGGAGCAGAATAAGATGACATAGAGGGTGTACAAATCCAGGGTGCAGGGAAGGGTTGGAGGGAGGGTGTGAAGGAGTTTTATGAGATAGGGTACATATGAGCATCTATCAAGCATATAAGAATGTAGGGAGTAAAGTAGGGAGATTGTACATAAGTTGGTTGAAGAGATTTGACAGGCTGTTGGAGTGTGAGCAAGAGATTCAGGGTAATGGTTAGCCAGAGTGCTGGAGGTGAGAAGTACAGTGCCTGCACTGTGAAGGAGGAATGGGGATGTTATTGGTCAGATTTGTTTGACTTGTGATATCTGGGCACTTGGCAAAACAGCTGTTGAATGAAATGATTGATGGTGAATGTTTCCTATTTTGGGGGGTCATCTCTACAGTGATGGGAGACAGCCAGCATGGTAAAAAATGAAAAATGTGAAATATTAGTGTAGATGTCAAAATCTCAAGTTTTTCCCAAGAATTTTAGTGTTCATAGCCAAAATTTTAGCTCTTCACCTTACCCAACACTATTTTCATGCTTGATATAAATGTACTTTGCAAGAGAACAGTAATAACAAGCATTGATGAGTACCACTATGTGATATTTTACAACTGTTACTTCTCATTACTCTTTCAAAGATTTTTAATGTGGGAAGTTAGGGCTACTGGTGTGTAATTTTTAGGTAATGCTCCTTTATGCAAAAGGAGCTATGTCTGCATTCTTTAAGGTCTCGGGTGTTTCACCTGGATCTAGGCTCTTTCTCCTTAGACTACTGAGAGCTTATGCTAGTGGTACTTTGCCCTTTTTTATAAATAGGGCATCCCACAAATCTAGTCCAAGTGCTGAGTGAGGGGGCATGTTTTAAATTTCTTTTTCAAAATCTATGGGATTAGTACTAATGCAAGTTGGTCTGCACCTCCTTCCAATGGAATGAAAAATATTAATGCATTATCTACCCTGCTTTCATTTAGTGGGTTACTGAACACTGACTCATACTGTTCTTTTAGGATTTTGCTAGTTTCCTGTTCATCTTCAATATGAGTGTCCTCTCATTAAGGGTCCAATTTTACAGGTATGGATAATCCACGGAACCACTTAACAGCTGAGTTAACAGTGATCATTTATAATAAGATATTTATAATAAGATTTCATAATTGCACCTTTAGACAGTCACTTGTGTTTATAAAAGTGTCTTACATACAGCATGCAAAGAGAAAGATAAAAAGGAAATTGTGGGTGTTCCTGACATCGTAACAGTTATAATCTAGTAGAGCATTATTAGGAGCAAGAAGAAATGTAGTTTTTTTTTTTTTTTTACAACAATAAATATAGAATGTTGGTCTTGTATGGAAGTACGTGTACAGAATTTTTTTTTATGTAACTGATACACTTTAGTGCTTTCATGGTAGCTTAGTTTCTGATACCTGACTACTGTAGAATGTTTTCATTTGTTGTTTCACAGAATCTGAACATTTTATTATATTAAAATATCATTTTTTTTTTCTGTAGAAAATTTTCATATAAAATATGTTTTCTTAAAAAAAAATGCATTCTGTAAAAGAGTATGATAAATAGCTTGTTTAGTTATTTATTCCAAGTTTGATTCATTTACTGTGTTCAAATTTTGGCCAATTTTTAAGAGGGAAAAGTTTATAGCAAATTTAAAGTTAAATATATTTTTGTATTAGACAATTTATTACTGGTAAAGAATTACAGTACATTCTGTATAATGTAAAGACTGATAAGTTAAAATATTGATGACAGTCAAGGATTAGTTGAAATGTGGATAAAGCACCAGTGGTAATTGATTCACATTGGCATTTTAAATTCAAGATTTTATAGTACCAATTAAATTAGACTGTCAGTAGTAATACATTTTATCTGTAATGTTAGTGTGGATAAGTTTGAACTAGTCAGCAAGTGGGATTAAAGTCAATGTATGAAGGTGAATTAGATTACTTAAGAATTATTATTCTTTAGGATTTTGTATTTATAATGCAGAAACTTGTATAGGATATAGTGTTGTTTACAGATGTTGAGTTGAATTTATCATTTCCTGCAGTTTATTAAGGATATTTTGAGTTACTTGATTGGTGTATAGTTAAACATTTTATTTCTGAAGTAATGCTTGAATAGTCATTGACAGTGATTTTGAAATCCATGGTGCACCCTTAAAGCCTTCATAAAATATGTAAAGGCACAAGGCTATGAATCTAAGTCACTTATTGTGTGATAATTTTAGTTTTCCTTTACAGTATATATTTTTAGTTAAAAGAGGTCATTCTGATAAAATTAATTTTGGTATAGATTTCCTTATATAGAATTGGTTGTTCTTGTTACCTACACATTGTTGGCATTATTTACTTTGTGTTTCCTCCTCACCTCTGTTACAAATCTTTTTTCAGCAACATAAATAATGTGCTAATTAGCACTTGTATCAGTCTTTGCATACTTTGATTTTTAAACTCGTGTTGCACCGATATCCTAGAGGCATACTTGCAAGCCTCGCAAATGAGAAGTCCCAGTTATGTTCTTGAAGGGCACGTCTTTGTTTTTGCATATGCAAAGTCATATAGTTAGCATACTATGCATGACTATGAACAAGTGGACTTTGGCAGATAGCAGATAAACAAAAACTGAAATTTAATTTGAAGATTTTTATCCTGAGTATGTGGCACACTTGGGTAAATATAGGCTTCTGCTCTGGTCTTGATAGTGGCTTGAACTGTAATGTAGGCAATAGTTTTTAGCTCCTTATAGTGTTGGAAGTATATTATCAAGTCTCAATCTTTTCCAGATGTTTCAAATCTAAGAAGCATTTAAGATGTATTTAAAACTGCTTATCCAGATATATGCAAGACTTCTCATGGTTATTCATGAAATGACCACCACTTGTGTGAATAAAGCATTTTGAGTAAAACCTTTATAATTTGGTGCACTTGAGGGGCTCTCTCCTTGGTGAATGATGACAAACTGAAATATAAGGAATGCATGCTTAAAATGCCTGTACAGTAAACCCTCATTCATTACACTGGTTATGTTCTGAAAATCAGCATGGTATGAAAATAGTTAAGTTCCAGACCCCTACAAATTTGCCAGTCTGTCCTTTACTATTGTACTTTGGTAAGAATTACTGCAGTATAACTTGCCTCATATCTTGTTAGTAATTATTTGACACACGTGAAGATGTGAGGGAGGTTAATGCAGGCCTACTAGGCTAAGTTGGATGTAGGAAGGTGATCAGCTGATGCACGGTAAGTGCATGCCAAGATCATAAAAGAATGATTTCCTTAGCAGTGTACCTAACATATATACATTAAAGGTGACTACATTTGAGAAAGTAATGACCAAGAAGAATAAAATATATGTAATGCTGTAATAGTGTTGTAGGAGGCTGTCCAGATGTAGAGACAGCTGCAATCTCTGGCTGTAGCTTCCAACACTATTGTAAGTTTGCATATTTATATATGCAGTGGCACCCCGGTTTCCATCCTTAATCCGTTTCAGAAGGTCGGTCAAAATCCGAAATGGATGGAAACCGAAGTAATATTTCCCATAAGAAATAATGTAAATCCAATTAATCTGCTCCAGACACCCAAAAATATTAACAAAAAATGCATTTTATTGAGAATAACTATAATTTTACATACAGAAAACAATGAGAAATAAATATAAAGCACTAATTTTAATGGATAAATGAACATTTAAATCACTATTACATACCTTTATTGAAGAATCTTGTTGACGTAGGAAGAAAGCGAGGAGGGGAGAGAGAGGAGAGGTTATTGTTTGAAAGGAGAATCCCCCTCCATAAGGACTTCAGGTATTAAAGCCCTATCTGGGGTTACTTCCCTTTGTCTTTTACTAGCACTAGGACCCGCTGGAGAATCTCTGCACTCCTGCTAACTGTTTTTTGTTGATCCACACCAACAACTACTTCTCCATATCTTCGATTGTTTGTGATCTCTGTTTTGTTAGCATATTTACCCCTTTAGCAACATCAGCTTTCTTGATTTTTACTTTCTTCACTAGGATGGAACTGATTGTTGATATAGACTTTTCCATACATCCTGGTGAGCTCGGCCACACATACACCACTTTCATATTTTGATACAAGCTCT